GCAGCGGATTTATCCTCCATGCTCCAATGATTTGCTGTAGCTGTCTTCTCAAACTGGAGCTTAAAGACCTGGAAAGGAATAGTGCCATCAAAGGATGGAGTCTTTACCTTGGTAGCGTTCGTCGAAATAGCTGGACGACTCTACTGCAAACCCCGGAGAAGATCTTCAAGCTCATCCTTAGCTTCGACTTTGTCCTGTTTTTCCTTAATAAGCGCTTCGATTTTATCTTGTCGTTCCTCGATTTTATCCTGTCTCTCTCTGAGTTCCGCGTTATCTTTAAATAAATTCTCTTGTAGCTGAGTAATCTTTTCATCTAGCTGCGATGACATGTACGTTTTCTGTGCTTCCAGCTGCGATGACATGCGTGTTTCCTGCACTTGCAGCTGGGATGAAATCTGTGATATGGCACCCAATAACATGTTCATGTCTATAGCCGTTGATGCACAAGGAGCCTTTCCCTGCTCTTCAAGCTTCGCTGATGTCTGCTCCACATCATTCGATGAACCAGCAACCTCTTCCTTGTCTTTGTCCTTCAAGGATGCCTCGTCGTCCCTACGATGGAAGTCGTGTTTGTCAACGTCGATGCCTTCCTTTTCCATAGCCTCTCGCAACCGTGATAGCAACTCCACTTTTCTTCCGGAGGTTGCTAAATTTCGTTTCTCCAACTCCTGCTTGAGTTCCTCAATCTTTAGATCCTGAATTTTTGCCATTTTCAGTAGTTTATCCTTCGGGATTTATTTAACAATCCCACTTCTGACACCAATTGTTACGATTATCCTCGAAACCTTGAGGGATTTCCCAAATATACTCGGGCTCGTATCGCTGGATTNTACTTTTTTCCAACTTTTCTCCAACTCCTGCTTGAGTTCCTCAATCTTTAGATCCTGAATTTTTGCCATTTTCAGTAGTTTATCCTTCGGGATTTATTTAACAATCCCACTTCTGACACCAATTGTTANTGATGCACAAGGAGCCTTTCCCTGCTCTTCAAGCTTCGCTGATGTCTGCTCCACATCATTCGATGAACCAGCAACCTCTTCCTTGTCTTTGTCCTTCAAGGATGCCTCGTCGTCCCTACGATGGAAGTCGTGTTTGTCAACGTCGATGCCTTCCTTTTCCATAGCCTCTCGCAACCGTGATAGCAACTCTACTTTTTTCCAACTTTTCTCCAACTCCTGCTTGAGTTCCTCAATCTTTAGATCCTGAATTTTTGCCATTTTCAGTAGTTTATCCTTCGGGATTTATTTAACAATCCCACTGCTGACACCAATTGTTACGATTTTCCTTGAAACCCCGTGCGGATTTCCCAAATCCTCCGGTTCGTATCGCTGGATTGTTAAATAAATGCTCACGATGACCAAATTGTAGTACAATTAACTTTATTGTACAACAAACAATTTACAATACTTGCTAATACAGTAAAAANTTAAAGCAATAACAACGCTTAACTAAACTTGTTAACACAATTAAACTTATAGCTTGCTTATTCGCAACTCACTTCTCTGCTCACTTTACTTGTAGCTTGCTGTCTTGTAACTCGTAACTAACTCAACTCCGCTGTGTCGTGGATCTTATATACCTGCGCTCGCACTTATGGCAACTCTAGAACGTTCTGAAGTTTATCGCTCATTCTCTTTCTCCCGCTGTTTGCAGTGTTCATCCAACTTGACGTTTCTCTGTGTGGAACATTCTACGTCAGTCCTCGAACATTCTGCCTATTTCTCGTAGTTCGCTTCGCGTTGCCGCAGTATTCGCCACAATACGAAAGAAAATGCATTTTACAACGCGCGGTGGTGATTTCAAACTAATAAAATTAATAGCGCAAGTAAAGCATAGTGTAAAAAAGTGGACGTGTTGCGCATAGTGGAAAGAAATAAAAATAAAGAAATAAAAACTATATCGTTCGGTAATTCGCGAACAAGCAGAAGTGAACCGTGCTACGCTGCTGCTCGAATATATGCCAGCAACATTGCGAGTTGCGGCATACTCCTCAAATCCCACCTGGCAAGTAGGGTCCCAACCTCCGGGGACTACATAAATACCACGGACTCGCAGAGTACGAAACCTGCTTCACCAACGTGGTATCGCTTTGGGCGCTTGTACCGCGCAGCAAACATTGCTGTCTAACCACCACCGTGTCTTCGGGCAAGGCATTCACCTTCACCCACGTAGCCTGCGAAGAGCTCTGAATTATCCGGCAGTCATCACCTTCTTGGGATTAGTTGGTGCCTCAGCCGGCCACCGCAACACCAGGCCACGACCGCCCCGAGTGACATCGGCAAACCACCAGATTAGGGCGGCCGCAACGCCAGCCTAAGCACCGCAGGCGGCAGCATCCAACGCCACCGAAGAACCAACCAAAACAAGGCGTCCCCAGCAGCAGAGACCGCCTAACAACAACAACAAGGCGGTCAACGTAAAGGCGACCGACCGCCTAGCGACCACAACAAGGGACGACAACAACGGTTGCCACAAGGCAACAACAGCAGCGCCACCTAGCGACACCAACAAGGCGGCCATAGTAAAGGCTGCTACACCAGCAGCAACAACAACAGCAACAACAACAGCACGTCGGAAGCAACGGTTGCGCGAAGCAACAACGCCAACAACAGCTGCCACAGCAACAATGCAACCGCCAGAGCAAAGGCGGCAACACGAGCAACCGCCATAATAGAGGCGACCACTACAACAACAACAACCACTCCAGCGCAGCACAACCGAAGCAGTTGCAACAACAGCATCGCCCCTTCCAAGGCATGCTGCTACTAGGTGGGGTGAGGTCTAAAACCTAGAAAAATACTAAAAATCAAACAACAAAAGTAAATTAGTACAACAATAGAAAATTAAATAATGAAAAAAAAGAAAACGTATAACCAAGTATAAAGCTTGACGAACTTAAGTATTTAGTAAAGCGATAGAAACCTGAAAATAGTGGCATATGAGGCTTCACCATCCCACAAGTCCCAGGGGGGCATGTGATTGCTGCCCCTTGCTGCGTTGCGGCGGGATGAGTGGAGCTGAGTGCACTGGTTCGGATTGGTCCCCTTGGTCAGCAACCGAAGGCTTCTTCGAGACTTCACGTCACGTCCTCCGGAGTTTTGTATTCCCCGGTGAGGCAGTGCTAAACGCATTTAGTTTTTTTTGTAGTTTGACTTTGTTTTTCTCCAAAATGTTCAGTGGTCCGATATGTCGGCATGGGAATTGGGGAAAAAAATTGTCCGCTAAGTGGGGTTTAGTTTAAATAGCTTGGTTTATTTTTTTTTTGCCGAATATTTTTTGCTTTGTTTTTTTTTGCGACCTGTTTTTTTTTGGAAAAATAAAATAAAAATTTTAATAATATATACATTTTCTTTAGGACCCCAGCTCACTCCATAGGTCTGCGCTGGCGCTCCTGAGCGCCTACGTATCGCGATGGAGTGGGCTGGGACTCTAACCACGACTGACTATCGGGGTCTCAGTCACCCCACATGTCTCAGGGCGACATGCGTTGACTGCCCCTTGCTGCATTGCGGTGGGGCACTGAGACCGAAAGATAGCTCAGCAAACTTGTACGCGAAGTCCAGTACACCCTTCAAGTCTGAAGGGGCATTCCATTATGCTATTACATGCTTATTTACTAATTATATTTTGATTGATTTTTTTTGCTTTTCGCGCGTATATTTATATTCAGTACGCGGCTGAATAAATATTTTGGGATCTCGTTGATTTTTTTTCCTAAATTTCTTTTCGCGTATATTTACATTCAGTACGTGGGCTGAATAATTACTTTTGAAATTTTTGATTTTATTTGTCACGATCAGGCCTGGCAGTATCGTGCCACTCGGTTAAATCGCGCGAAATTTTTCTATTTTATTTTAAAACTTTTATCGGACGTTCTTGTGGCTTAGGCTGTTAACAGCAAGCGTACTTAATTAAGAATTTTAGTTTGAGCTCTGGGGGAGCCAAGCCTTCAACGCCTATTGTGGGCTTTTAATTTTTCAGTACAGTACAATAGATCTTATAGCTCCCATATTTATTTATTTATTTAATCAAATGGAATAAGTCCTTACTGACTATAAGACAAGAGAGCTTATATACTACCTAAAATAATTAAGTAGGACAAAACGAACTGTTCCAAATGAGAGAGACGGGTCATATTCAGAGAGCTCATTTAGCTCAGAAAGGGTTCTGAACAAAGGCGAGAATTTTACATAGTTAGTTTTAGGAAATCCCAGGTAGAATAAAGAAACACGACGCAAATTATGAGACGGGACGTTTAATGCTAACTTAGATTAGGACAATCGACTGTGCCCTCCAATATTTTGGCCACAAAAGAGGCTGCTAGGAAAGAACGCCTAGTATTTAACGAACTTAAGTTAATAAGTTGACAACGGGAAGTATACGGAGGTATAGGCTCAGAAAATTTTAGAGAACGCAAGGCAAATTTAATAAAAACTTTTTGAATCTTCTCAATCCGGTTTATATAGACAGCCTGATAGGGACGCCAAATGAAAGACGCATACTCAAGCCTAGATCTCACTAACGTGACATAAAGAAGCTTCAGAGTATAGGGATCCTTAAACAACTGACCATTACGACGTACGAATGCTAGCATTGCATAAGCTTTGGAAACTACGTAGTTAATATGGGTTGCGAAGGTTAATTTTGAGTCGAAGTAAACCCCTAAGTCTTTAACCTCTGCGACATAACTAAGTTCATGGCCCCCAATATTGTAATTAGTTTGAACGGTAAGAAGCTTTCTGGTGAAAGTGGAGTAGGAACATTTACTAACATTTAAAGATAAGGAATTAAGAGAGCACCAAGAATGCAGGTTATTAAGCTCAGCTTGCAGCAAAAGAGAGTCTTGTGAGGTTCTGATTACTGAGTAAACCTTTAGATCGTCAGCATATAATAAATACTTAGAAGACTGGAAGCATGATCCAATATCATTTATGAATAAGACAAATAAAAGAGGGCCCAAGATACTGCCTTGGGGAACACCCGACGTAGCTACAAAAGGAGTGGAGAGTATGTTATCAAAAGCAACTGTACAACACCTATCGGACAGATAGGAATTAATCCGTTCCAGAAAAGTTGAGTGAAAACCCAATCGCGATAACTTGTTAATTAAGACTTTATGCGAAACTCTATCGAACGCCTTCGAAAAGTCTGTGTACACAGCGTCCACTTGTAGACCTGACTGCATCGCAGCGACACAGTCCTCCATGAATGTAGCAAGGTTGGAGACAGTTGACCTCCCACTAACAAACCCGTGCTGGTAAGGGCAAATTAAACTTTTCACTGCGAAGTTGAGCTTCTGTTTGACAACTGATTCCAAAACTTTTGATTGGATTTGACCTAAAGCTTCACGTTTCTTGTTATTCCTAATTGCATTTGTCTCACCACTGAACACTCGGTAGATGGAACAGCAGCTTAGGCAAACACGCAGTGCTTCAGTTAGAGGTAGCGGCGCAAAGTCAAGAGGGACCGGGAGGAATACCAGTCCCGCTATTCCAGCAAATAATCCTCCGGTGATGCATTCACCTGTTGCTGACCATACGAGAGGAGTGCCGCCTCCAATTCCAATGGCCAATCCCGCTCCGGGACTTAAGGTTGATAGCCGTCAAAGTTCAAATTTACTTGACACTTCACCACCTCGGACTTCGGTCCAGAATGTTTCCGCTACCTCCATGACTATGCTTTCGGGAAGACAGGAAACGGTAGGTCTTTGCCAGGGAATACCGGTTTTGGTGAAGGTATTGCAGAAGATAAAAGTAGACGTTCTAATGGCGGAGCGCCTGCAGGAGATTCGTGGGTAGGAGTGCTTCATCAGCTCTTACGTACTTCGCAAGAAGAAATGAGAGCTGAAATGCGAACAATGCGGGAAAATATGAACGCATTAAGTGCAGTGGTAACTGTATCTCAAACTGCACCCAATGGCCCTAGGGACTTTGCTT